TGTTTTCTGCGATGAATGTTGTCACAGTTTCTACTCTTAAGGACAGAGTTCGTAGAATGATAAAGCCAACGTGCGTGGCTTGTGGGGTCGCGACAATGTGTAAAAACAGGGAACAGAGAAGAGAATTACAGGCTTAATAAGCATCAAAATTACTCTTACTGATTTTCTAGCCTACCTCTGAGAGATTTGGTTAAAACCAAGACTTTTTAATTCCTGAGATGGTTAGGTCTTTGAAAGGTTTCCGCTCAAGCCTGTTGGCCTATCAAGATGGCGCTTATCTCTTTCACAAGCATGAATCGAAGCGACTTACGTTCTCTACTCCTCAGGGATGGGATGCTGGTCCATCGCAGGGTTACCCCTCTCCCCTCCTCCCCCGCCGGTACCCATTTATACACCTGGATGAAGAAAGGCTCTGTAAGAATATGCAACTGTTTATTGAACACGAGACGATTACTTCGTCCTGGATTGAAACTTTAACAGCGCTCTAACCATTAAGTCCCAACTCTTCCCCTGTCTGGTCATTCATCGTTAATGAAGCTACTGCAGGCACCCGGGTTGTGATTAAAATTAAGATTCTCCGTACCCTGCCATTATCTATTGTTGTTCGCAGTTCTTTACCTATTGCAACTCTTCAGCCGAACTTTGTAAACAACCAAATGATCAGCTTCCAACTAGTTGAATTTCTTGACAAATTTCTGTCCTATTTACTTTTTTTATTTACAGTGTCCTTTACAAGCACAGTAGTACTAAAGAAATTGAAGCTTAAAGGAGCTCAGTCACGGTATTTTGAGTTATTTCGGCAACATACAAAATTACCTTTAAATGGTAGGAAATCAGAAAATAACAGTTTAATAAGATAGAAAAACACCAAAGAAATAATGATAAACCATAAAGGGACAAGGATGGCTAAGGATGGAAAAGATTAACACGGATTACAAACGATGAATTGAAAAATTGAGGCTTAAGTTTTCAATATGCGCAAACCGTGACTGAGCTCCTTTAGAAAAATCAGTCTTTTCTTAACTGAACATGAACTACTTGAAAAAAAAACTCTAAATGTAACCAAGGTAGCACGTACAATAAAAAAATAAAGCCAAAAAAGGAAATTGATCATTTATTTCTTCATTTATTCTTTCCTTCCTTAATTCCCTCCT